GCGTCACCTATACAGCTATGCGATGTTGGTAGCAAGATGTGCGAAGTCACTAAGGTAATCAAATTCTGTTCTTTTATGACGAGATTGCTCACGAAAACTGATTTTGTGTCAGGTCCAGTGTCATTTCGGTGAAGTCCCGTAATGTCCTGCAAAGCTGCGAAATGTTACTTTGTGTAATGTCCAATTTTCATGTGAATTTTTCAATTTTTAATGTTGAATGGCATTTACTGCGGAAGGCACAACGAAATTGGTATGAGCTAGGGATCGAAGATTCTGACCTATGCCTATGGGGTGAAGAAGGCAGTTGGTAAACCAATTCCTTCTTTCGGAATGTAGCTCTCGCATTCAATAGGAAGCAGTTCTTAGGTGCTCCCAATTATATCATCATATAATAGGTGCAATTTGCTAGAATCTTCTTGCATACATTTCGCCTTTTGAAATATGGAACATTTGAATGGATTTCTCCATCCACCATGTTGTTTCAATTCCTACAGAAAAAATCCCTACAGAAAGCTTGTTCTGGATTCTAAACCAAGAAAATTTCAAGTCTCTTTGTTGGTTTTTGAATTCTAAAACTTCGCTTTTACAGTTTGATGAGATCTTTTGGCTAATATGGGAACTTTTCTGTAAACAAAACTCGCATTTTAACTTCTAATTGACCAATCTTATTCAGGTACTTCTACCTGGAGCTGCTGTATTCCCTGATGGCTCATGCCTAGTTCCTGCTGGTGGTTTATCAACTTGTCTTTCGGCCCAACGGCATTCTGTTCCTGTTTATGTGCTTGCTGCTTTCTATAAAGTTAGTTTTCAGTTACAGTATGCTCCTGAACAGGGTCTAAGTGATGCGACTAAATTACGCTGTAATATGTTCCTAGCGTAATTTGTCTTTAATTGAAGAGCTAGCTTTTCATTATATGGCTCACCGATGGTTATCCTCAATCCATATTCTTTGCTCCTTTTTTACTCACTTTATTTCGCAGTACTCTTTCCGGTTTTCTCGAAATCTCCCCTTTATTTGTTTCCTTTCTTAGGTGCCATTATAGCTGGGGCTTTGCTGCAACAGCCAATGTTGCTTTGAATGTAAATTGTACACTCATCTCCGAAGACGGTCGTTGCCATTTGCTAATGGGTCCGCAGCTGCAGTAGCATGCCCTTTTGTTCGTTCAAAAGCGCACGGGAACGGAGCTATGGGGTAGTGATGGCCGAAAACCGTCTCCCACTCCACCCGCGCTATTCTCAAGCTGCAGCACTTGCGTCAACTCTGAGGCGCCAGCGAAACTTGTTCTTAGCGGTAAAAACAGTCAGAACTGATAGAGCGCAGACAAGCATTTGGCCACGAGGCGCGTGGCTGGCCCTGCGGCAGAGCGGGTGGAGTATGGAGACGGCATCCGAGCACTGCTACCATCCAGCCCCTTTTCCGTGCACTTTTGACCGGAAAAAGCGGCTTAGAACTGCAACTCCGGACTCTCTCTCTCTCTCTCTCTCTCTCTCTCTCTCTCTCTCTCTCTCTCTCTCTCTCTCTCTCTCTCTCTCTCTCTCTCTGGCTGACGCCAACCACCGCCGTCCATTTCAGACCTAATAAGTTCCGGCTCCTCTGTAGTGTTTTTCTTTTTTGACTGCAACTGCAATTTTTGCGATTATTGATATAAAATGCCGACTTTTGCGTGAACAGACCTGAAAATCGTTTTCTCTAGAGCTAGTTTTTCTGCTATGCTGTTTATTGTCACTTAGAAGGAATGCATCGTTTCAAATGCGTCTTTAGATAACACCTTTCTTCGTACCGGATCCAATGATGGTGAATCCGAACAAAGCTACCGGTGTATCGTTTACACATTCGGTATCGTTTTCTGGTCTAGTGGAAATTCCTCGACCAATGTTTGACCATATACCGGCATCACTTGTTACGCTCTTTGTTTCTAATACAGCCTGCATTCTGCCGTCCCATGTCTACAGGTATACTTTGAATTTATTCAAGAATTTCCATTTTTGGTCATAAGCGTTACATTTCCTTCAAACTTAACACATCAGTGAAAAGTGCCTTATGGTTAGTAAACGTGAGCAGTAATTGACTCAATGGATAGAGCAAGAAGACTTAATATGTTTCAGGCTGATCGGAGATTACTACCATCCTGAAGACGTTGCTGAGTGCTGATTATGCGATATATATTGTTAAATCAGGAATGATTCCATTTGTCTAGTTACTGGTATATGATTATAAATATGGTGAAATTAGGGAAAATAAAATTTTATATCACTTTTTTGGCGACAGGGTATTTTGGCAGTTTTGGACTTTCATTTTTTACATAGGATGAGTCAACACAAAATATTGTCAAGAGCAGGAGATTTCACTGCCTTATCAGAAGAGGAAATCTTTGTGTCAGAATGACCTCCTATCTTCCAAACTATCCTTTGAGATAAGATGTGACGCGTTCCTCGCTCGTCGTTTAACACAAGGTAGATAGCAGGACACGCCGTCGTTGTGGAAATCCTACCGATGACACGCCCTGCTGTCTATTTTGAACGCCGTGGGGGGGTGGGTTATATTTGACCACGAAATGGGGGGGGGTCCTAAGCGCAGGGCTCATTTAGAAGTGGGAAGATCTGGGATACTCACACAGTCGTTGCATGATTAAAAAATTTATCTATGGTTTTGTTGTGAAGAACTTGTGAAGAACACCTGAGAAGACACCTGAAGACAGAGGCAAGTTGCAGTCTCAGAAGTGGGGGACGGACTGTAACAGGAATAACGCTGAGCATCCACAACGAGTCCATGACTTAATAAACAAACGAAACACTTTACACGCTCGAACTTTTTCGTAGGAGCATATCTTTCGCACGGAGAGCCCTATTAAGAACTTATACCTTTCCAACACTCTGCGTAGGAGTTGGGTGCACAGCGGAATACAAAGGTGATGCCGATCGATGACGTATGAACTATTTCCTGATTATTCCGGCGAAAAGATCCGTTGTAAAAGCATTCTAAAGCATTCAAACGAGCTGAAAAAGCAACTGCGCCTTATGAGCGCCTTTTTCGTGACGCCAAAACTGCTTTGGATTCTTGCCTTTCTGATTTCACAAGGGGTCACATATGAAGGGGGTTATGGCTGTTCAAAGTCCAAAATTCGTAGATGACACTAAAATTCAACATCACAATGGGCAAATATCCCCAAAAGAGTAAGACCACTTGAGCACAGCAAATGAAAACCAGACCTAGTGCTTAACAACCCTGCTTTCCTCTTCATAAACACCACTCTGAAAAAAGTTATGGATGTTCAATACGATGACGACATTATGAGCTTGTAGCTAGTAAGTGAGTGGCCTGGGACAATATGAGCCGCCGGTGGCTCATAACTTTCTCGACACTCTTCGGTTTATCGCCGTCAGTCTTAATCAATCTTTTTTTCGCTTTTCAATAATCTGTGAAAGATGATTGTTCAACAGGGATGAACGAGAAAGATGTAGCTGCCCCCTTGAGATATCCTTACATTCTATAAAGCAGAAACTTTGTGTGTCGGTTTGTCGGTATGTATGTATGTATGTAGGTATGTATGTCGGTTTGTATGTCTGTCCGTCCGCAAAGTGCTTCACAGGATTAAACAGGTTAGTGAAAGGAGAAAACGACCGCAAGACAAACCGGGATTCGATCGGTGCAGATGTATCAATCCAATGTTTTGATTGTGATAACAGCATATATGGAGTCTTCTTCGATACCGGACGGTGAGCGGTCGGTTCACTCCACTCTCTCCGAACCGACGTCTTCTTCGACTCGCCTCGTCAGCATAGAAGATACTCCTTGGCCCAGGAAGCACTGGAACGGCCGGGTCAAGTATGTTCCACCCTCTATTCAAATTCCATTCACTTCGTCACACTACTAGTAAGGTGTTAGAAGACTTTCAACCAGAGAACGACTCGTCGAACTTCAAGAAGGACTCAGAAGAACATTTTTGGACATCCTCGCAGTTACGGAGCTACGATGGAAAGGAACAGGGAGTATAGACCTCGAAGACTCAGATTATAAATTCTTCCATGCTGGGCCTGAAGACACACAAGACCATCTGGTTTTTTCGTGAATCGCCGCCTTCTTCCTTTCGTGGATGCTTTTTCAAGAGAAAACGACAGAATGTCTCGTTTGGATGTACGATTTGATGCGAATTTGTATCGGTTTTTGGCGGTATATGTACCCCCTTCAGCAAGTTCCACAGCAGAAGACGACGAACAATATTGTGCACATGTCGAAAACATTCAAACCACCTTTCAGCGTTTCAACAGTATCAGAACAGGATCGATACAGTTCGAAACTGATCATCGGCTTCTACGAGGAATTTTAGAGATACACAGCTGCACTACCAGAATGAGAAAGAGAACACGTTCGAAGTCTTATCTAGACCGAGACGCTTACCAGATGGAACTGGCCAGAATTTGTCCTCGAACCATTCAAGATCCATCGAATCGTTATCGAGAAATATGCAGGTATATCAGGAACGCGGCATCTGTGGCTACAAGACGTACCCAAGCTCGCCACTACCTTTCCACTGACACCCTATCACTAATGAGACAGCGACAGCAACTGAAGAGAGAGATGAATACGCTAACAGACCGAGTAGCATACATCGAAACTTGCAAATTGCTGAGAAGGATGATAAGAAACGATATTCGTTTACATCATCGTGATCTTGTTCAGAAAGCGATTGCTACTGGTGGAAGCTTGAAGAGCAAAACCAAATGTCAGTTGGTCGGCGACAACCGACTCAGCTGCGCGACAAGAAAGGGAAACTATGTGTGTCGAGGAACGAAATCAAAGAAGTTATAAGGGAGTATTATGACCAGCTGTACACATCGCAAAGCATGGTGCCCTACACACTATAGAGAAGACTCTATAACCATTTCCAGCACGTGATACTGTGAAAATGAACTGTCTTGTTTACTTTGCCTTGTTTATTATCATCGCGGCAGTATAAAAGACTGCCGCGGTAAGGTTGACTTCACCTTTTGTTGTTGGTCTACCGCAAGCAGTAGCAATAAACGTTCCGAAGACCCGCGTGGCAGCGTATAGGATACAACTACACTACACCGGCTGCAGTACTCAGTGATACTACAATCACTACATGGTGCATCGGCACCGCATCCGGAAAGAAGAGCCTACCAACCGTGAGTAACTAGTCACGATTCAAGTAGCTGCCTAAACAGAAGTTTCAAGTTCTTTGTCATTCAATTTGAGAAAAAAATGTGTTCTCTGATCACCACACGCCAAGGTGTTCTGACAAGGGCACAAAATCGTCTTGTAGGATTACTCAGAACACAAACAAGTAACTTTAATCTAAACAATGAAAGTCAACACATAAATGAGGTGCAAAAGCAAATTAGAAAGGCAAAAGCAGCTATTTCAATGGAGGTACAAAAGCTTGAAGAGGCGATTGACCGATACGCTGAAGCAATCGACAACGCAGATGGAAACTCGAAACCGGACCTCTCAGAGGAACGAAATAGCGCACTTGGGAATCCAGTAGTCACGCTCAATCCAGTACCGATACCGAAGTTCAATGGAGATATCTGGGAGTGGGAGCCTTTTTGGCAAAGCTTTGAGCGCAATGTACATTCCCAAAACATCGATGACATCATGTAATGATGAATTACCTCCTTGATGCTTTACAAGGAGCAGCCAAGGAATCAGTTAAGCATTTCCAAGTCGCCGGACACACATATCCTCTAGTCATTGCTCACCTAAAGAGGAAGTATGGAGACACGCAAGCGTTAGTAGATCGACTCTTGAGTAAGCTGCAATCGGCAAAAGCCGAGAGTGGCAGTCTCGAAGATCAAGAAACGTTGTGCGAGCAACTCACTTCCCTTACGTCGCAACTGCACCTACATGGGGAACACATCGATAACACAATTTCTACTAGAAACAGCTACTTGGAAAGTTTTCCGTCGACGTCCAAAGACAGATTCTCTGTCAGAAAACAAAGATAGAGGCGGAAGGAACGTGGAGCACTATGGCCCTCTTGAGATCCGCGAAAAGTGAGTTCAGTCGACAGCTGAACTGAGGAGATCATCAGGTCAAGTTGGAACATCGCAGCGGTTCAACATCGGAGAATACCAAGGAAAGGGTGCAAGAGAAGAAAGAGGGACCACGTCCAATAGAAAACCAACGAAGTTTCAAACCTCAGCTCCTTGTTTCTGGTTGAGGAGATAGGAAGTGTGCTGATAAGATTAGCCCCAGTATCTCCTCAGTACCTCACTTGCATTGTATTGCTCATTGTCGACTCTGCTACTCCAAGCGACGGTCGGGTAAAGTTCTTCTTCTGTTCATATTCTGTTGGTATTCGCTGATAAACCTTCTACGTTCGACGTGCCACTACATCTGGCGATCAGGATCAGGATCAGGTTCAAGATCAGGGATCAGGATTGAACGGCGCGACTCAGCCATGGACGCAGAAACTCTAACGGGCGAATCCTCGGAAGCTAAGCGGAAGCCATCAGAAGAAGATGCTGCAGGCCGTGATGATGGAGATGAAGGGCATGTTCAAGACAATGGCCCCACCGACAGCCCACACAACGTCGGCAGAATTCGTCATCAATTCGCTGTCTTCACGCGCTACAGTCTATTCACACACGATCCGCCAGAAAGCGCTGCACCTTCGACCTGTGTACGTCGCATACGAGGATTATCATTATGCCAAAGACTGGCGCTTCAACACCTCGACGATGCAACCAGGGCGCGGATTATTGTATCAAAGCTGGATGCAGCAGCCTATGCACGATTCACCAACCATATTCTGCCAAGGAAAGCTGCTGATATTCCCGCCGCTGAAACAGTGAAGATCCTGCAAGAGTTGTTCGGGCACAATTCATCTGTATTCGCACGTCGCTATGCCTACCTAAGGACTCAATGCAATGGTGAAAATCTACGAGACTATACTGGACTGGTGAATCTCGTCATGAAATGGCCGAGTTCAGTACAATTACGCCGGAACAGATGAAGTGCCTCGTTTGGATTTGTGGTCTAGCTGCTGCCGAATACGCTGATATTCGCACTCATGCTCTACGCAAATTAGAGACCAATCCAGATACTACACTCCGGGACCTAAGCACCGAGATCCAACAGCTATTGGATATTCGACGAGACGCCAAACTTCCGGGCAACCCACCGTCTGC